AGAACGACAACGGGATATCATGAGTATACGGAACTTGAGCCGCTCCCAAGTTAATGTGGCGTGGCTGTATCTTATGTAATTCCCAGTCGCTTGAATAAAGTATTTCTGACGTTTTACGCTGCATGAATGAACCGATGACGTCGATTTTAGTCCCTGAAAACTGGCAAATAATTTATTTCATTCGCACCATTAACAATTTTCTCAAATCTGATTACGCTCTTGTTATCATTTTTCATACACTCTTTATTTTATTTATTTATTTAATTATTTGTTTATTTATTTATTTTTTATGTAAAAATATACTTTATAAGAACATCGAGGTTAAAATTTGCCAAATTTTGGGAATGTTTTTAGAATAAACCCTCGGCTGAAATAATGAAAAGCATATAATTTTCTGTGTTGAAAATTTGTAAATACAATACAATTATATGTTTTTAACTAAACCGTATAAAATTGTTCCGTTCTCTAAACGGCAAAAAGTAGCCAAAAAGCAAATAAAACAACATTCAGAGCCGTATATTCGGTGCTAAAAACATTTCCCTAAGAAGTTATGTGCGTCACATTAGGCTTTAATTGCTGCAGGCTGGCTCCACAATTACTTTAACACCATCCAGACACCAAATACATTCGAAAACAGAAATGTCATACACTATAATCTAAGAATATTTACAAAAATATTTTCAGCCTAAAATCATCCTCGGCCGGAAAAACAATATTCTTGTAAAAAGTAAAGAGTGTATGAATAGTAATAGGAGCTTATGCAGTTGCATTTGTTCAGAAATATCTACACCGAAGAAAGAAATAATTTTATATTTCCCATTTTTGGGGGGTCGGGGGAGGGGTTTGAAAGCGAAACAGTTTGTGATAGAATGTATGCACTTTCTGTTACATATTGCTCTAGTTCATTTGATGAGGTTACCTCTGCCGGAAAGGGAGTTGAAAGGAGTTCATTTGTTATCGAAGCCATCCAGAAATGTATATGAGCCTGTTTGGTGAAATATCTATATTACAACGATTAGGAAATTGATTATTGCTGTAAAATTTAGACTGTAAACCTTTAGGGTCTACACGAGTGTGGTAAATTCTAAAAAAGCTGGGCGCAGGTTTCCTGATTATGACATACACTGGCATGAAAACCTCATTAACATGGACACATCTTAAGAGTCACGAAAGTATCCGTAACGGTGAACATTCAATATTAATTTCTCCAATTTAAATTTGTAAGTAGAAAAAAAAAGTATGAGATAGTGACCTCTACAACCGACTGTTACCATGAGGCGATCTTCTCGGATGGTTGGACTAAAGAGCCGTATATTGAGAATTTTAAGTTACCTTTTTTTCTTCCCATGAAAAAAAAAAAAAATCCAAAATAGTGAAAACCTCACGATAACAGTCAGTATAGGAGTAGAAAATAGCATAAAGAATGAGCATGCACGGATTAAGCCCAAAGACATCCGACATTTCGCTTCTCGAATATATGTCCATAAAAAAATGTGGAGTTCGACTGTCTATTAAACTGGCTTCCTCAATTAATCTTTATTAGGCATATTGCGATATGACGTCAATTGGCCGAAGTTGGACACTGATCGCTCGGTTTTCAAACAATGATGACAAAAATTGGATGAAGGATACTGGACACTGGTGGTATGACAAGAACGACGCTTCTGGGGACACTAGTGATCCGTCGATCAACGCTGACATGATATCGCCAGCATTCTGGGTGGTTGGCGGAAGCAAATTCAAGATCACTCGCAGTGACGACCCACGACATACACCTTTGCTGCGGACCACGGGTAACTGTCTCGGTGGACAGACGTTCCGCTCCAAAGTTACAAGCTATGGCGACTTCAGAAATGGCGTAGTCTGGGCCTCAAACCAGTGCTTGGGGACTTGCACTGTACAATATGGCGGACAATATCGATCAACTGCCGGCTTTCAACAGGCCACATGTAGTGGAAGCATTCAAGGCTCCCATGCAATCGGTTTCTGGTGTGACTGGGGTTGGGACGGTTCACTGCTTATGATTGGCGGAGGTGGAAAAAGACGCTCACGTGCCGACCACGGGATTGGGGTAACTGAAGCTAACGAAGCTTCCTTTGTACATAGTGATGAATTTGATTTCGGTGATCAAGGAGTAGGTACTCCAATTCGAGACTACTCTTTGAACCTGTGGATCCGTTGATTGGCAATGATCGGCAGATCCTCCATCACATCAGTTATATGACATCCACAGAACGATACCTTTTTATAAAGGCTGACTTTAATTTTGGCTATATGCTGTTTAGTTAACATTGCTTTTCAAGATGTAGATATAGTTTACCTTGAGAAGACAAGAACCGAAGAGCGATTTGATTGTCGTGAAGCGTGTAACCAACTTACATGTAGAACAAACACCTCCCAACAGATGTTAACAACTGCCGATGCAGCCATAAATGGCTTCCTCACGACATAAAATGAACTGACGGACGGATCTCAAACAAAAAAATTTAAGACGGAATCCACCAGAAGTTCGAGTAACGAGTGGTAAAAAACCTACTACCAAGATTATTTACATCGTATTGCAAAATTCTGTACGACTGTTTCAAATATCTTCTCAAAAAAAAAAAATTCATTTCTAGCAACACCAAACGTCAAAAACGAACGTATGAAACATTTGAAAGTACTGATGAAATGAAACTGATGATGAAATTTTGGCTGTGTTTGCACAAGTTCTCTGAACTTTGAAATTATTTCACGCAATTATTTATGCGTTTACCTTTACGAAAATGTAAAATGACTGTAAAATACTGAAATTATTCTTGTATCAGATTTTTGTCCACTAAAACCTTAAATTGCTCGATTTTCCATCGGATTTCGTCTTAATTTACTAATAATAGACGGATAGAGAACAATGACGGTCAACAAAAATTTGCAAGAGTCCTACAACCAATACCATCGCGGCTAAACTAACCAATCAGATTACAGGATAAATGTTATCGGGTTTTAAATTCAATAGGGTAAAATCGATGCTTAAAATAGAGCAGAAACACATTTATTTAACTTGTATTCAGGGGCAGTGAATTGAAACTGCGATCTGGACACATTTAGTAGTTCATCATCGTTAGCAGCATTTCCATGGTGACAAAATTATGGAAATTAGGTTCCTTCTGGGAAATTCATGTAAAATTATTCGCTGCCATACAGTAAGTCTGCCCAAATAGTTTCTTGTATTTTGGAGTAGTTATCGGCAATTTATGCTAAGTAGGTTTTCATCAGGTTCTTAATTTTTGTGAAGGAGATGTAGTTGTTGATTAGCAGAAAGATAAATAAACTTGGGTTTGGTCCTTAAATATGCAGTGTATTCACAACTGTATTATGATAAGCCGAACACAACTATTTACAGAATGTATATGTAGTGTCTCTATAACAAGAGTTTATAATTAACTGTAACTAACATGTAAGAACCAGTTTGATCTTACTTGGCTAAACAGGTTCTTACATTTTGCTGGGGGTTTAAAAATGACAAATTTCTGCCAGCAGGAGCTAGCAGGTTCTTAAGAGCCACCGCCTGTAAATATGGAGAATCCGACGACAGGTCGAAAAATTCGGATTTTCTTTTATTGCGTCAAAAAGACCTTTTTGGTGAAGTATTTTCAGAAATATGCTTTCAAAGTTCCAGCGACTTCACATTTTTGTGAAATCTAGGAACGTTCGAAATACCGTTCAATCAACCAAGATGGCCGATGGAACTTATGCAAAATTGCACATTTTCAACAGGCCAATACAGAAAGAAGGGAACTTGCCTGGATTTCATATT